CTTCCAGGGGCACCTCAGTGGCTCAGTGGGTTAAGCAGGTCTGACTTCAGCTCAGGTCATGATCTCAAGGTTTGTGAGTTCGAGCCCTGCATCAGGCTTTCTGCTGTCAGCCAGAGCCCACTTTGGATCCTCTGTCTCCCTCTCTCTCTCTGCCCCTTCCCTGCTCACTCGCTGTCTCTCTCAAAAAATGGATTTCCACAGGAAGAGACCCGGAACTGCAATGGCTGCTTCAGTCTGGTTGCCTGTCCTGATAAGCGATTTCTTCCCAGATTGTGTCTGTTTACAGTGACGCTTTTGAGAGCGCCTGTTTTATCACCCCCTCACTGGCATCCAGGATTAACCTTTCTTTGTTTCTGTTGCTGACACATTAGGAAGAACCCAGCTCAGCACTCCCTGCTTGTCAGGGCGGGCCATTCCCCACCCTACCTGCCCCAGCCTGGGTGCTCCTGACACTCCAGCCCTTCTCCCTCCTTCCCTGCCCATTGGTCGACCACGGCGGCCCCCTGTGCCTCCCTAGCCTCCTTCTCATCCCCCTGCACCTTGGGCTGTTGGTCTCTGGGTCATTTAGACCTTGCCCCCCACCCAGACCTCAGACTCTGAAAGGCCCTGCATCGTGCTCGCTTGTGGACAGGCTCTGGCTCAGATTCTGCCAGCCTCAGCCCCTGAGGACTCAATAACCTGGTTCCAGACATGAACTTGACAGGACCAGCCCGGCCCACAGCAGTGGCCCTGGAGGATGGACCCGGGAGATAGATGTGTGCTCCTGCCATGCTCCAGCAGGACTGGAGTGTCAGGGGATCTTCAGAGGAGCTGGTCCTCATACTCCAGGGGCTGGGAGAAGGCCAGCCACCATGGCCTGGCCCTTTGACTTGGAGCATCTCCTTGCTTAGGTGGACGAGGAGGCTGCACTGGAGCAGGCTGTGAAGTTCTGTCAGGTCCACCTTGGGGCTGCCGCCCAGAGACAGGTAAGCAGACCCAGCCTGTGCTGGCCTCCCTACACGAGGCAGGCCCCATGCCAAGGCCCCTGGCTGTGGGCCGAGAAGCAGTACACCTCAGGAGGGACTGTTTCTGGGCTGAACATGGGCCGAGGGGAGATGGACAGGAGGCCCGTGAGCCTCTGGCTCACGGGAAGCCCCTGACCACCAGCCCAGGTGGGGCAGCATTGTGTGGCAGGTGGGGCCTTGGCAGGCCCAGACCCCAGCTCCGAGTATGTGACCTCAGCAGTCCCCTCACCTCAGCTGCCTTTTCTGTAAATGGGGAAGATGGTCCTTACCTAGCTGACCCCTGGAAAGGTGACTTCATTTGGGATGAGGGTGGAGGAAGTGATGTGGGGCTGGGATAGGAATGGGTTAGGAGCAGAGCAGATGGGGGTCCTGGGGTTTATTCAGCAAGGGAGGGGGCAGGTTGGTGCCAGGTGTGGGAAAGACTCCCTGCTGTTGAGTGGGGAGGCTGAGTTGGTGCAGAGGCCCGGTGAGCAACAGGTGGGTCCAAGATGGCAGAAGATGGGCCAGCGTGACCTGGTGACAGGAAGGAGGGGTGAGGGAGCATATCTTCCCCTCGGAGAGGGGTCCAAGCAGGAGCCCTGGGTGTAGGTGCCCCCAAAGCCTTTGGTCTGGGGCTCAGAGGCCACAGATTTTGAGGAGCAGGGGGTACTGAGGAGGGGGTGAGGGAGAAGGATCTCCTTGGGAGAGACCTAGCTCAAGAGAAAGCCCACAGGGGGAGTCTGGCTGGCAGAGAAAGAGGGGGGATAAGGCTGGGGGGCACTGCAGTGCTCCTGCTCAACAGTACCAGAGGGGCATCTTCCTGCACCACATGTGGGCATTTCTGCAGGAGTGACCCCTGGGCCTGGGTCATTGGGTCAAAGGGCAGGAACTTGTCATTTGAATAGGTGTGGCCTCTTGTCCCCCCAGGGGTGGCCCAACTGCCCCTTCCCCAGCAGCACAAGTGAGCAGACCTTGCCCTCCCATCCTTGCCCACACGCAGCCTTCTCTTGCCATTTCCCCCAGGGAAGTACATCACAGGGAGTCCCAAGGCAGGAGTTCAGGGCAGTGGGCATCCATCTATAGGTCACCTAGCAGCAGGCTTGTAGATGCTGTCAGTGTCCAGAGCTTCCTCTCAGTGAAATGGGGCAGCATGCTACCCTTCCTGCCTGGACTCTTGGTCTGAGGAAGTCCAGAAGTTCAGTCTTGACCAGGCAGTCTGTGGGCCACACACGTGGGCCTGTTCCCCCGGCTGAGGGCCAGAATCCCGGGGGAGACATGCCCCAGGTTCTACCACCCCATTATTGCCAAAGTAGCCAGGATTCACATCATAGCCGCTGTGGTTTCTGTGGCTTGCGTGGCCCTAACCGCAACCTCTGCTACATGGGACAGGAGTAACTGCTCAGGGCCCCAGTGCAGGGCCTGAGCCCAGGGGTCCCCTCCTGCCTCCTCTGCTGACCCAGATGAGGTCAGGTATGCAGTGACCACTCCAAACAGAGTGGCTGTTTCTGATGCAGTCTTTAAGGCCCTCAAAATGATAGAACCCCCCAGAAAACCTCCAAACGCCTGCCTTCCCTGTCTTGTGGCAAAAGGAGATTCTGAGCTAGCAGGAGCCACGGGCAGGGAAGGGTCCTTTAGATGAGAAGATTGAGGACCAGCACCCAAGTGGGGCCTGGGCGCCTCTGGCCATTGCTGGAGGGGGCAGCCCGAGCCCTGAGCCTGCTGCCTCCGCCCCTTGCCCCAGGATCCATTTGGCTAGAGGCCAGTCCCAGTTGCCATGGCAGCCTAGCGCACACCTGGAGAGTGCTCTGGACATAATTAGAGGCTCAGTGCTGTCACTGTGGCTGAGGCTGGCTCCTGCAAGGACAGACACAGCACATCTTCCTGTCCTCTCCCCACCTTCCACCCGCCCCCCGACTGGAGGCTCAGGTTCAACCCAATACATATCACACAGCAGAATCACAGGGGCTGTCCTGTGCTCCTTGAAACTAGGGACAGGACGTTTCAAGCAGAACAAATGTCAAAAGAAGCAGAGTTATGGCAGGGAGCCAGCTGACCCCCAGCACCATGGTGCCCCCAGCAGGTGTGAGACCACATTTGCAGCCCTGGTGTGGCCTGAGGCTAGGGGTCTAGGGTTGGGAGGATGGCTCACACCCTGCAGCACACCCTCAGTGAGCTTCAGCCTTCACACTGTTCTGGGAGCGGAGGCTTTGGGTGCAAAGTAGAAGGGCCCTGGTGGCAGAGAGAACTGTGTGGAAGAAGATGGAGAGGCCCCAGCGGGCCCTGCTCCCCTGAGAACAGAAGGCCTAGGTGAGAGCTTCTGGGGTGGCCAAAGCTGGACTATCCGGCACTGCCTCTTTGGGGCTGCGGTCTTGAACTCAGGGAGCTGACTCTTGGTGTCACCCTAGCTCCCTAGGGATGGCCCCACAAGAGGCTCAATGACCCCTGCCTGGGGTCATGTCTTCCCAGGATGGCACCCAGGAATTGGAGGGTGAGGTCTGGTGGAGGCCCTGGCCAGCCCCAGGGTCTCCGTTGAGTCCCTACCAGCAGGGCTGGACGTCTTCCCAGGGAGGTGCTGTGGGTCCCCAGGGTTAGGAGGTGGGGTGCCCACCATCCTCACCTCCTCTTTGTCGTCACAGGCCGCAGGGGACACACCCACCACCCCAAAGCACCCCAAGGACAGCCGAGAAAACTTCTTCCCTGGGGCTGGGGCTCCCACGGTTCCTGACCCTGTGCCCGCTGACACTCTCCAGCGGCCCAGTGACACTCACAACAAGCCTCGCCCGGTGCCAGCTGCCACCACGGCTATCATCCCCTGCCCTCCCTCAGCGTCGGCCTCCAGTCCAGACCCTTCCAAGGACCCTGGGCACCCCCGGCCACACAGGGCAGAGGCCACCCCCAGCATGACTTCCCTGGGCTCAGGTAAGTCCCAGCCCATCTCCTAGACAGCAAGGCCAGAGCTGGGCCCAGGCCCCTGCTACCAGCCAGCAACAAGTCCTACTCCTTGTGTGGAGAGTGTGGGTGGGGGAGGGAAGGTGGCCAGGGTGACCTCCAGCCTGGTGATCCTTGAGAAACACATCTTGGGGGCCCTGGAGGGCAGGGGGCATGACCTGATGGAGTGCCCACCACTTTCTTGACCTTTCTCCCATCCAAAAAGGGACATGATAATGGCAGTCCCCTCATAGGGGTGTGTGGCTAGGAGAGAGGGAGCCAGCACTAATAGTGATATGTTTACATGTAAACTTGATGAATAGATAGATAGGGATTCAGGAGAGGGGAGGGGTCTTGACCTTGGCTTATCAGAGATCTCACAGGCCTATGAGCTGTCCCCAAGCACATCTGTGGTGGGGAGCATTCCTGCGTAGGCCCCCTAGGGTAAGACAGATGGAAGCAGCCAGCAAGGAGCGGGATAAAGCTCATGGGTGGGCGTGTGAATTACAAAGGACAGAGGGCTCTGTCAGCCAGAGTCCTGGTTCCTTCTAAAACCCAGGATGCCCTTAGGAATGACAGCCTACTGGCAGGGGCAGCTGACAGACCAGCTTTCCAGGGAGGGGGCACTGAGGTGGCATCTCAAGGGTCAGCAGGCAAGGTGTCAGGCCTTCCCCTCACCCCGGCTCCTGGGACCAGCCTGCACCCTTGCTGAGGCCCTGCAGGGGCCTTTACTCTTGCAGGCTTATCAGTCTTCCCGGTCACAGTTCCATGCAGCCCTTCGGCCATTCAGCCTTGGCTGTGTCACTTCCTAGCCATTTTAATATCAGACCTGAGAGCTCCTGCCATGGCTGGTCTGCCTGGGTGGGGACTGAGGGTGGCAGCCCTCCCTCCTTTCACTCTTTCCTACAGTTCTGGCATTAGGCGCTGATGTTTTCACCTGATGCTCATCCCCAGTTTGCTTTGAGAATCATGGAAGTGTAGGGACCATTTGCCCAGTCGGTGACAATTACCCTGGTTGTGGCCTCGTGAGACGAGGAATCACTTCCCTTAAGTCAGCTCCTGCAACCATTTGTTGTGAGGGGAGCGTCCGAAGGCTGCAGGACCAGAGCAGTTGAAGGATTGTAAGTGGTGGTTCTACCACCAGGTGACCTTGGCTGTCCCTGCTCCCCTCTGTGTACCTTGTGTCTCAGTTTCCAGCACACAGTGTGTCAGATGGAGGTGATACAGGTTTAGCACAGTGCTTGGCGGACAGCAAGCACAGCCCCGGGGTGGATTGTGGTGATTTCAAAGGGCAGCGACAGTGAGAGTCCACAGCCCAAGGAAATCACTCCCTCCCATGAAGTCGTGGCTCCCGCAAGGTGTCCCCCTGACCTTAGGCTGTCTTACCCTCCACCTGACTCTTGCCTCCATGGTGTTGTAGCTTCTGAGGATCAGAGCTGTCAGCTGGTCATCTGAATTCTCTCACGTTGCTGGCACATCTCAGGTTCTCACCAGCTGTTGGCTGGAGGCCTCAGTTCCTCCACTGTGGGCCTCTCCGTAGGCTGCTGAGTGTCCCCACGTCATGGCTGCTGGCTTCCCCCCAGAGTCTAGGTCTAAAAGAGCGAGACCACTCAAAGGAAGCCTCAGTGTGCTGCATAACCTAATCTGGAAGTGAGTGACCATCACTGGTGTTGGCCACACATAACTGGGTGCTAGGTGGGAAGGTTCCTTAGGGTCTAACAGGAGGCAGGGTCATCAGGGCCCTGGGAGCCTGGCTGCCTTCCTTCCGTCTCCTGCTCACCGCACCCCAGTCCCAAGCAGGCTCCAAACTATGATTTGCACTTTTTTCCCCTGTGTCGGATCAATGGAAGAGTGTATGTTTCCCGATGTGTTTTCTTTGTCCCGAAGAATTGATCCTTTTTTATTTTCTTCCCCAAAACTAAATAGCCTTTTGCTAGAATGGAACTCTTACATGACATCGGGGGTGGGGACGGCCCTGGGCTGAGAATATGTGCTGCATGGACCTGGCAGTGGAGTAGCCTCCTGACAGGCCAGGTGCTCAGCACATTCCCAAACCAGGCCTCTGCACTTGCACACCTGCCATGTGGAGTGACCTGCCGGCCTCTTGGAGCTGCCTCAGGATGTGCGAGCAGGTGGTGTTTGGCCGGTTGTGTTGGGGGGGGGGGTGCCCCTGATGATCCCCAGAATCCCCTGGAGTGGTGTCAGGGCCGTGCTGGGATGGGCACATCGCCCCAGAGCCCATCTCCCACAACCCCCAGAACAGGGAAAGCACCAGGAAGGAGCCATCCAGCAGGGTGACTGAGTGACCTGGCAGTGTGACCAGCATCTGCCTCTCCTGGTGACCAGCAGGCAGCCTGGAACCAGGCATAGGTTTGGATGGACAGGAAGGGTAGGCCTGCCCTGCAAAGGCACCCAGGAACTAGAGGGTGTACAAGGGTGGTACCGAAGCCAGAGACGGCTACACGGGAGGTTGCAAGCCACCTAGGAGAGCAGGCTTGAGGACGGATCCTCTCAGGACATGTCCCCAAGGTGCGAGAGCACGGGGAAGGCAGCCTCCCCAAGGTGGACAGCCCTGCCCTGAACCCCCCACTCCCATGGTGCCCCTCACACAGGCCTCTGGCTCCAGCCAGGCAGTGGCTGGGAGTGTCCAGTCCTGACTTGTCCCACCTGCTGTGGCCTGCAGATGGGCAGGAGTGGTCTCAAGCTTCTGCTTGAGGGTTGTTCATGGACATCCAAGAAGCTCCTAGTTGTGTGTCTCCCACAGAGGGGGCCTGGCCCTGCCTCTTGCTGCCCGCCCCCCACCTCCTTGCTGAGCACGTGCTATCTCTTTGTTCGTTGGATATTTGCCCACTACAGGCCAGGACCTGGTTTGGTGCTAGAATAGTGCCTGGTCTACAGGTAAGTGAGGGTCCTTCTTGCTGAGGGGCCAGGCCTTCAGGAGCAGGGAAGTACATCAGGGAGGAGGAGTGGAGAGGGCACTGCAGGCCATGGGACCAGCCTGGTACAGAAAGCACCTGCCTGAGCAGGGTGCCCCCAGCCAATGGGCTTAGCTGTAATGCCAGCCTCATGCCATCCCGAGAAGCCAGGAAAAGTCTGAGCCAGGGCTGGTGCTTCCAGGACACTGGTCCTTAGGGACCCAGTGCCCAGACCATGAGTCTGCCCCAGAGAGCAGGGAGAGTAGCCCGATAGCAAAGGACTCCAGCCTGGCCATATGTTTCCCACAGGCAGGGATCCTGAGACCAAGGAGGCCAGGGGGACCCAGATGGTCCTTCTCTTAAGGCTGGGCCCCCAGGCCAATCCCCTCCTCCTCAGGCTCACCTGCAGCCCTCCTCACAGGGCCTCCAGGGTGGTGGTGGGGAGGGGAGGGGGCTGCCTGGCCTACAGAGCACTACCCTACGTGCTTAACACTCTCTGCTAGATGCCCCTGCCCGAGTGTCCCTTCACCTCATGGTGGCCCACCCAGAGGAAAGGCCTGGAAGGGGTGGACAGTCCCCTGGGATAGGAGAGAGCCAGCCTGACACCTGACCCCTCTGAGGGCAGCCCCAGGCCCTCCCTGCATCCTGCTCCCCCTGTCCTGCTCCTGTCCTGTAGATACCAATCAGCAAGGAAGCCAGCAGCCCTCCCAGCCCACCTAAGCAGCCGCTTTAGGCTCCTCGGCCAGGCCCTCAGGGAACAGCCCCATGAGAAGAGGTCGGACACAGGCAGGCAGGCAGAGCACTAGACCAGACACCCACCAAGTCTGCTTCATGAGTGCGTGCCCAGCCACAGCGAACCAAGTCCTGCACCAGCGGTGTGGGATTCCGGCTGCTGTCCCTGCTCCCCAGGTCCAGGGGGAAGTAGGAGGAGCCTTTTGAGGTGCTCACCCCTGCCTGCCATAGTGTAGGGGGCTGGACGCTGGGACAAAGAAGCTGTGACCATGCCAGCCAGGCTGTGAGACCTGAGGAAGGGCGAGAGTGGCTCATGGCTTAGGTAGCCAGGGAATGCTCTGTCCTCTGGGAGCTGGAAGCCAACAGTGGGGAGGCCAGGGCTGCTCAGTGGCCTAATCTTTGTCCCTGTCCCAGGAGCTGTCACTCCTGCCTTGTCAAGGCTGGGGTGCGGGCGGGGGTGGGGCTTTACCTGCTGGCGAAGGGGAAGGAAGGGCTCAGTGGGAAAGTGGGAGAGTAGAAGGGTCGCGGGGTGATGGCCATCTAGGCCCAAATAAAAAGGAAGAGGGGAGTGAGGGGAGGAAGGGAGCATGAGGAGGCAGGATGCGGGGGGAGGAGCTGCAGGGCACTGGAGGCAGGGCCTGGGGGGCTGAGAGCTGGTGGCCCGATGCTGACTAACGGCCTGGCTGGCGGCCATAGGCTCAGCCTATACCCCTCAGGCCCATCAGGCCTTGGCTCAAGGGAGGCCAGTTCCCAGCCCCTGCCTCATGCCAGGGAAGGTGTGGCCTGGCGGAAGGGCATGGTGCCAGCACACCGCTTTGTCCGCTTTGGTCTTAGCTGGTTGGTTTGGTTTTGGGTCCTGACCATGTTTCTGAGCACCACTCCAATAAGCTAGTGGGAAGAGCCCATGAGCCCACCTCTTAAAGTCCTGTGATAGTGTTTGATTGAGGGGGCTGGGGCCTCACGGTCCCCCGTGTTGCCCCTACCGTGTCAGGCACACAGTGGTCCCGGGTGGTCGGCCAGCCACACCAGCGTCCACGGGGGGCTGAGCGGTTTCCTGCCAGTACCAGCCTGGCCCTACCCATGCAGTTGTTCTAGAGAAGCCCCTGCTGGTCCCCTGGTGGGGGTGGCGAGCTGCCTCGGCACGGGTCCCCTGCCAGGTGTCCCAGGGTGCAGGAGGGAGGGGCCCTGTCTTGCAGGCTGGGTGAGGGTTGTAACCTGCAGCCCTCCTGTGTCCCCACAGACGGAGAAGAGCTGGCCGGAGGGGCAGAGGGCACGGGCTTCACGCCCCAGGAGCCACTGCACGGTGAGCAGGTGAAGACTGTTCCTGACAGCCCCTCAGCAGAGCCGCACTGCTGGCCCCCAGAGGCTGCGCCCCGGACAGGCCCTGAGCCCACCTGCAGCCAGGGTAAGACGAGCTGGGAGCAGCCAGGGTGGGCCTCAGCTGGAAGGGTGGAGGGCGTCACAGGGTGACCAGCTGGCAGAGCAGGGCCCGGGGAGGACCCAGTCATGCTAAAGCACAGCGGAGAGGCAGCTGGGCAGGGAGGCCCAGAGTGGAGACCCCCTCGTTCTACCTCTGGCTCCACGGAGACTAGCGAGGGCGGGTGGCCAGCCCAAGCTGAGGCCGCTGAGTCCCAGAGAGGAGGCCCCAGACAGGGCCAAGAGGGGGGTTGGCATGTGGGGGGAGGAGTCTGGGGCAGAGGGGTGGCCAGCCTGGCCAGACAGTTGTCCATGTCCTAGTCATCCCTGTGGATAGAGCCCTTTCCCAACCAGCCAGCCCCCTGGGGACTCCTCAGGGTCCGGGATCTCACTGACCCTGCTCAGGACTGTAGGGCCTGGTACCAGCCAGAGGAAGCCAAGCATGGGCTTTTAAAGCCATGGGACCTTGGAGGAATGTGGAGACCAGCCAGGCCGACCCGGCGGCCCCTAGCTCTTGCAGCTTCACGAAGGCTGCCAGCCCCGGAAGTGCTGCCTCCAGCCTACTGGGAGATGCAGCCCTGGAGTGGGAGTGGAAGTGAAGAAGTGAACGCCCTGGCGCTAGCTGAGTGACTGGCGACGGGCCCCGGTATCCTCCCTGTGGTGTGGACACCAGTAGGACAAGCATCCTAGGATTGTTGTAGGGATGCGGCCGTTAATGTGCACGGCGTCTGGAGGGCCTGCTCTAGGGGCTTGCCTATATCCCAGGCCCTAGACTCCCAGAGTGCACTGTGCTCCTTGGGCGGGGGCGGGGGGAGTCCCAGTCCCCAGACCTAGGCAGTCGCGGAGGCAGACACAGGAGGCCTGGAGCCTGCCAGCCAGCACAGACCAGAAGGCCTAGAGAAAGCACCCTCGGCCTGACGCAGCGGGAGGAGGCGTTCTGGGTGCCTCTGTTTTCCAGAGGGGAAACTGAGGCCCAAGCCAAGGAGGGGCAGGCAGGCCCAAGAGACTGTGAACAAGGCTCAGCTCCCACTGTCCACCCCACAGTCACCAGCTCCAAGGTGCCCAGTGGTGCAAGTGCCCAGTCACCCGAGGGCCCCCCCAACAAGGCAGAGCCCGGCCGGGCCAAGTCGCGCCTCCTCCCCAGCATGCCAAAGCTGGTCATCCCCTCGGCTGCCACCAAGTTCCCCCCTGAGATCACCGTCACGCCGCCCACCCCGACCCTGCTCTCGCCCAAAGGCAGTATCTCGGAGGAGACCAAGCAGAAGCTGAAGGTGACCACGGGTGCCGAGCGGGGGGCATGGGCGGGACGTGGGCTATAGGGGGACCTGGGGCCAGGCCTGGGCCACCCCTGACCAGTGCCCTGCCCGCTCTGTGTGCAGTCGGCCATCCTATCTGCCCAGTCGGCCGCCAACGTGAGGAAGGAGAGCCTGTGCCAGCCGGCCCTGGAGGTCCTGGAGACGTCAAGCCAGGAGTCCTCGCTGGAGAGTGAGACGGACGAGGATGATGACTACATGGACATCTAAAGTGTGGGGCCGTCCCTCCGCCCCCTGGCCCGAGCCCCTCAGCCATTCGGGGCCCAGGCAGAGCACCATTCCCCACACAGACCCCAGTCCGCCCAGCCTCCCTCCCTTGCGGTATCCTCCCCTCCCGCCTGGGCCGTGGTCTGTCCCCACCACATGGGCTCCCGGAAGAGGCCGAGCTTGGCCACGTGAAGACAGCCGCAGTTCGCACAGCGGGGCTCGCAACCTTTTCTATGAGACGTTGACTTTGTATAACCGTGTCCACGCCCAGCCTAGGTGGCCGTGTCCACACCTTGATGCCCGGATGAGCCGGGCTTTGCCTGTGTCATAGTGGAGGGGTCATTTAGGGTTGGGCTCGCCCCACTCCATTTTTCTGGTTTCTTTTCTAATAAAGATGGAACAGTTGTCTTTGCCTCTTTGTTCAACCCCGGGGGCTTGCTGTCCAGGGTTTCTGGGCCCTTCTCCCCATAGATCAGGGCCCAGCCCTTGGGCATCCCAGGAGCAGGCAGGGGCTGGGCAGGCGGTGAGTCAGTGTGGAGAAGTGAGCACAGGCCATGTAGGGCAGACCCTCTATGTGGGACTGGAGTCGGGCGTGGAAGGGGCCTCAAGAGCATCCCCGAAGGGCTCAGTGTCGGGGGGTGCCCCTCTGGAATATGGGCAGGGGTGGGTGGAGGAGGCTGCAGGGAGCAGGTCGTGCCAGGCCTCACCGAGAAACTGTCTTGTGATGGGCGCCCAACGCAGAGGCCCCTGAGAGGCAAGGTCAGTGTCAGGAAGCGGGAGGTGGGGCTGGCAGGGAAGGTACTTACACCCCAGCACACTTGCCTTCCAATGAACTGGCCATGCAGTTGTGGGGCTCAGTGCAACATGTAACTGGGGCTCCTGTTCAAAAATTAATTTTCTAAAGGTGACAGCAGAGCATTATGCAAGCCCGCGATGCTGGCTCTGCTCTTTCAGTGCTCTGAGTACGTCTGTTTTGGGGAGGCACAAGTTGCAGGGGCTGCAACCTGCCCTTTACACTGTCAAACCCCTCAGTGCCTTGGGGACCCAGCTGTCACCCCCCACAGCTCTGGGCTGGCCCTGCCCCCAGGGGTCTCCCTGAAAAGCTGTCCAGGATGGAGATGGGGATGCTCCTTGCTGCCCTGTGCCCCTCATGGGCTGGGCACTCCAGGGTCCCCAGCCCAAGGCTGGCAGAGCCATCATGGGGACACAGCAGCACAGCAGCCTTGGGGAGGTCCTCACCAAAACGTCCCTAAATCCAGGTTCTTTGCCGGGCGAGGGCAGGGCAGGGGTAGCGGTTACTCAGTTGATGCCCCTCTCCCCAAATTCCTACCTTCTCTTCTTCTCAGACCGGAGTGCCCAGAAAGAGTTCTGGGAATAACGCAGCAGTCTCCCAGGGCTTCCTGGCTCTCAGACCCCCAAGGACACCTGGGACCCATCCTGGAATCATTCCTATCCTCTTCCTTTCCCTGACGTGCCACAAGGAGCACCCTCGCCCCAGGGCCTGGGATGAGCCCCAGCACTAGCCATCAGCACCCACCTAGAGAGGTGCCGTGAGCTCCCAGCAACCAAGTTGGGAGATGTAGCTCCTGACCACCCCAACTGGCTTCCCTGATGCCTATAGGAGCCTCCTTTCCAGAGAAACTGCAGGCCAGATGAGAAGGGGGGGTGCCCAGGGAAGGGAGGCTGGCCAGACCGCAGGAGCTGAGGAGGGTCGCTGGATGGCCCTAAGCTCATAGCCCCCACCAGCTTCAGTTCCCTTCTTCTGGGGATGTATCCCCTTTGGACGGACACCTTTAGAAGCTGCCTCTGGGGAGACAACCATCTGTCGGTCTGGACACCCAGCCCAGGTGGCAGGGTCCAAGTGAGTCCCAGGCCTGGGACGGGAGGGGGTCTCCAGGAAGCTGCCTGGGACCTAGCCCAGCACTGCAGCCTCTCCCAGTGATCCCATCTATCCACACCAGGACCTCAGTTTCCTTCCTTGCACAGTGAGAAGGGAGAACAATGAAAAGATAATGCAAATTCTCTGAGTGACTGCCAGGGGTGGGCGGGGTTGGGTGGCTCTTCTCCCAGTCTCCCTGCCCTGTTTGGAGCCCTGTTTCATAGGCCAGTCCCACTCCGGGGATTCCAGACCAGGGGGTTCTGGTCTCAGCCTCTAACCCCACTGTTAACCTGCCCTGGCCAGGCTCCCTCCCACAGCCTTCACCCCCTCCCTCAGAAAGGGATCCCCTCCTCCCCTCCCTCCTTCAGTACCCACACAAGCCAGTGATCAGCAGGAAGTTACTTGCTCCCTCTGCCTGCCAGGCTTGGGGGAGGAATTGGGACTACCTGCTCCAGGCGGGGAAGCTGAGGCCGGGAGTTGGGAGATCTGGGGCTGAGGGCCCCCGGGGCGCTGGAATCCAGAGATTCTAAGGACCACCTGGCCTAACCCACCGGGCCAAGTCCCATCCCCAGCGGAGCCCCACCCTGGCCTCCCGCCCGGGGCTTGACCTGGGGTGGGATCCGGTGGTCTAGGTTGGGTTGTGGCCTCTGGACATCCAGATCCCCGAGTGCCAGAGAGGTCCAATAGCTGGAGGCTCGGACCCCCTCCCCCGCGTCCTGGGCTGGCGGGCCAGGAATGTGCTAACAGCGCAGGTTGGGCCCTACCGGCCCCACGAGGGCACCTGTGGACTTTGAGAGGGGAACCGGGTGGGGTGGGGTGGGGCGGGGCAGGACGAGACGGGACGGGGCGGGGCGGCTGCGCTGTGTGCAGGGCGGGCGGGGCCAGGCCAGTGGGGAGTGAGCCGGCCTGCAGGCTCCCAGCCACTGCTGCGCTGCAGGCTGCAGACTCAGGCCGCACCATGAAGCTGCCCCTCCTGCTCTGGGCCCTGCTGCTGCTGCTGCTGGCGACAGTCCCAGGCCCAGGCCCCGGGCCTGCAGCAGGTACGCCCCGACCCTGCCCTTCTTGCCTCTGTCCGTCTGTCTGTCTGCCTGCTGCAGCCAGGCCCAGGGCGGACACCCCTCTGCTCAGCCTCCTCCATCTGTCAGGCCATCTGGGACTGTACTGGGGGTTGTGAGAAGAAATTCTGGGGATCCTAGGGTCCAGGGGCTGCTGGCAGGATGGAGAGTCAGCTGTGCCCACCTTAAACCCGCTAGGAGCTGGGAGGTGCTGGCTGTCTGGGAGGGAAGTGGTCTAGAGGAGAGTGGTGGGCTCAGGAGAGCCCTTGGCCTGCATGAGGATGTGCTCACACGTGGAGGACCCCCAGTCCCACTAAGCCCCCGTCAGGCAAGAGGAAGGATTGTGGGTCCTTATTAGGGTGGGGCTGAACCTGAGAAATCTGGGGGAAAGCTCCTACTCCAGAGCCTCAGGCTGGACTGGGCTGGAAGTGACAGGCTCCCCAGCCCCCCACCCCACCCCTATCTCCCATCTTGGGTAAAAGCCACCACCCGTCTGCCACTTATCTCACTTACTGGCATCACTCAGCCTCCTCCCCCACTCCCTTGAGCCATCACATCCTCCCTCCGTCAATAAATGTTTATTGACGCTCTTGAGTGCCAAGCCCTGCACTGGGTGAAATGGGGTCACTGGGGTGGCTCAGGTCCAGTCCCAGCCCTTGACTGGCCCCCTTTGATAGGGTCACAGGGAAAGGCCAGGTGGGACGGGTGATCCTGCCTTGGCATCTGTACCCCAGCTCAGTCTCCACCCTCCAATCTGCCCAGCCACGTCCCGCCGCAGAGGGATGGATTCCCTGAAAATATGGCCCTGTCATAGGTCCCCATGGTGGTAAGAGCCTAGGCCTGATGTCCACAGCCCCACACCAAACCAGCCTCTCCTTCACACTCCTGGCCCTGCTGGGCCCTCTGCTGGAGATGTCCTTCCACTCCCCTCAGAGGAAGGGAGCACCCCTTGCCCTCTCCCCTAAGGGTGGGGCTCCTTCGGGGGCCACGGTCGGTGAGCTGGTGCTGCCTGGCGAAGTGAGATGGAGCACGCCAAGCCCGGACATCAGCCCTTGCCAGGCCTCCAATGGGCCTCTTAGTAGCTACGTCCCCAGACCCCAGACTGTCCTCCAGGCTGGGTCTATTGACCCTTCAGTGAATAGAGAAGGGTCCCCCAGCCCGTCAAGGGCTCAGCCACTGCTGGCCATCTGAGGCTGTGGTCTTCCGGGACTTGGTGGCAGAAGGTCATTCCTGCCCAGGGGGCTCCTCTTGATACTGCAAACGTTTGTCTAGAGACATTTCCCTTTATCTCTTCTTGTTCTAGCTAATCATTCAGGCAACTGCTAGATCATTTCTACCAAGAATCCCTCCCCCACAGGCCCTGTGGGTTTCCACTGTGTTCCCTTGGTGGGTAGTGCGATCCCGGCTGGCATTCTCCTGGGGATGCTTCTCTCTAATGGGCTCCAGGAAAATAAATTCGAGGTCTGCCCGTGGGGCAGCCAGGCACTCAGGGCCCTCCCTCTCCTCCAGGTGCCAAGGGGACCTGCTCCCACCGCTGTGGAGACCGGGATGGGCTCTGCTCCTGCCACCCGACCTGCTCCGGCCTGAACACCTGCTGCTCGGACTTTCGGGACTTCTGCCTGGAAATCTCGCCCTACTCAGGCTCTATGATGGGTGGCAAGGACTTTGTAGTGCAGCACCTCAACTGGTTTAACCCCACTGATGGTGTGATCTGCAGGTGGGAGGCCCGAGGGGCTCCCTGCATGCTGGGGACCCAGGGACAGCTGGCTGGTTGGGTCCCCCAGGGAGGAGGTCAGGAGCCCAGGCCTCAGAGAGGGTCAGCCCACCCTGGCCCAGGCTTTCCTGCCACCTCCGGCCCCCCACAGGTTTAAAGAGAGCATCCAGACCCTCGGGCACGTGGACTCCTCTGGACATGTGCACTGTGTGTCACCCTTGCTGTATGAGACGGGCCGTATCCCCTTCACACTCTCGATGGACAATGGTCGCTCCTTCCCGCGTTCGGGCACCTGGCTGGCCGGTGAGCCCCAGCTTCCTGGGCCTCGGTTCCCCAACAGGGACTTTCCCTAGCGCTAATCTATGCACACCTTGCCTGCCAACCATGCCCTGCTTCTCTGGCTTAACCAGTCCCTTTGGAGGCGCGCCTGAACCACAGGGGCGTGGGTTCTCCAGCTCCTCTCCCCACCCCCTGACGTCCACACAGGGGACCCATCCCAGAGGGAGTGGGGGCTTCAGGAGTCCCCAGCCAGGCCAGGGGACGGGGGAAGCCAGGTGGAGACCTGGGCAACAGAGGGCAGCCTCTCCCATGGCCTCTGTCCTTTCCTCACTTGAGGGTCTGGGGGAGTCATTGCTCTAATGGGACTGCCACACTTTATCCTTGGGAGGCACCCCCAGCTCTTAGAGCCCCTGGGCCTCGGGCCTCCGCTCACCCCTCCCCTCCCACCCAGTGCACCCCAGCAAAGTGTCGGAGACAGAGAAGAGCCAGCTGGTGAATGAGACGCAATGGCAATACTATGGCACTGCCGACACCACAGGGAACCTCACCCTGACCTGGCAAGCCTCGGCTCTGCCCACGGAGACTGTCACCATCGAGCTGTGGGGTTATGAGGAGACAGGTGAGGCCGGCCAAAGGCTGGACTGACGGAGGAGCTCTGTAGACCAGTAGGGTTGGGAGTTTGGGGCTTGCAGAGGTGGGAGAAAGAGAATTCCAGGTAGGGCCAAATCCCAGGTGGGGATTTCGAGCAAGAAAAGTACAGGCAAGAAAGGGGACTGGGTGGGAGTGGGGTGGGGGAGGGGAGGCTGGGGATCCCTAGCTGTTTGCGGTCCAGCTCCGGGAAGCAGGTATGGACATCCCCAGCTCTTGGAAACAGAAAAGCTTGCTCCGCCCATCCTCTCCAAGCCCCTGGACTGCTAGCCTGGCCTCGAGCATGGGCCGTGACCCTAGCGTGGGGGAGGAGGAGATGGTGGTCACTCGAGCCAGGGTCCTTGCTGGAGCAGCAGGGCAGGCCTTCCTATGGGAATCATCTGTTTATCTGTCCATCTGTCAGGCTGCTCTGTGCATGCTAGGGAACTGGTCTCTCCTCTGCCTCCGGGCTCTTTGGAGGAGCCCCAGCACTGAAAAAGGCCTTTTCTCCCTCAGGGAAGCCATATTCAGGGGAGTGGACAGCAAAGTGGTCATACCTGTACCCTTTGGTCACAAACATCCCCAACTCCGGCTTCTTCACCTTCACCCCAAAACCCGCACCTCAAAAATACCAGAGATGGGAAGTGGGTGCACTTCGGATCATCAACAGCAAATACTACGCGGGGGAGAAGTAAGGGCCAGTGGCCATGAAGAGGACGGGCTGGTGGGTCTGTCCGCGGCTCCTCCCCGTGCTGCGCAGGGAAGCCAGAGCTGGGGGTGGGGAGGGTGGGTGCATCCCTCAGTGAGTGCGTGGCCCCCGCAGGGATGTGCACGCGCTCTGGAGCAACGAGCACGCGCTGGCCTGGCACCTGGGTGACGACTTCCAGGAGGACCCTGTGGCCTGGGCCCGCGCCCAGTGCCTGGCCTGGGAGGAGTTGGAGGACCAACTGCCCAACTTCCTGGAGGAGCTGCCTGACTGCCCCTGCACCCTGGCTCAGGCCCAGGCTGACTCTGGCCGCTTCCAAGTAAGCCCCTACCCGGTCAGGGCACGGGAGATGTTGGGGGCAGGTGGGGCCAGCTGTCCCCACTAAATGCACGGTGGCACCCGCCCGGGAGGTGGGGTGGGGAAGTAGAGGCCCTTGGGAGGTGAGGCTGGGGTCCGAGGGCCCTCAGGGGTTGACTCCCAGCGAGGGGCTGACGGAGCCTGAGGCCAGCCCCGGTGACAGCAACATCCTGCTCTGTAGACAGACTACGGCTGTGACATTGAGCGTGGCAGCGTGTGTACCTACCATCCGGGTGCCGTGCACTGCGTGCGCTCCGTGCAAGCCAGGTGAGCCCCGCAGTGGGAGGCTGGGGCAGGGGGCAGGGCTGTGGGGCACGGTCCCCACAGCAGCCCTGACCCGTCCCCCCACCCCCTCCCCCAGCCCCCGGTATGCCTCTGGCCAGCAGTGCTGCTACACGGCGGCAGGCACACAGCTCCTGACGGCTGACTCAACTGGTGGCAGCACCCCGGACCGTGGCCATGACTGGGGTGCGCCCCCATTCCGCACACCACCCCGTGTGCCTGGTCTCTCCCATTGGCTCTACGATGTCATCAGCTTCTACCACTGCTGTCTGTGGGCACCCGACTGCTCCCGATACATGCGGCGACGGCCCTCCAGTGACTGTCGAAGCTACCGGCCACCGCGCCTAGGTGGGTGCCAGCCGCGGCTGGGCCCCGAGCAGGGCCAGGCCAGGCAGGCCCACCTGACCCTCTGCTCTCCCCAGCCTCTGCCTTCGGGGACCCACACTTCATCACTTTCGATGGTGCCAACTTCACGTTCAATGGGCGTGGCGAGTACGTGCTGCTGGAGGCGACGCTGACCAATCTAAGGGTGCAGGGGCGGGCTGAGCCCGGGACAACGCCTGAGGGTGAGGCCGGGGCCCGTGGGCCCTGGGTGGCTCAGGGTCATCCCGGGAGGGAGGCTGGAGCTGAGCAGACAGTGTTCTGCACCTGCCACCCCAGGCACGCGGGACCGAGGCACAGGGCTGACGGCCGTGGCTGTCCAGGAGGGCAACTCGGACGTGGTAGAGGTCCGGCTGGCTGGCGGGGCAGGGGTCCTACAAGTGCTGCTGAACCAGGAGGTGCTCAGCTTCACCGAGCAGAGCTGGATGGACCTGAATGGTGAGTGAGACGGCCCGGGAGCTTCAGCGGGCCACTTGCATGCCGTTTCCCTCTCGCCGGAGCCGCCATCCCTCTCGCTGGCCCTGGGGTTCAGAGCACGGGTGCAGAGATGGAGGCCTCTCGCTATGATCTACATGCTGTCCCCACTGTGCCCAGCCTTGTGGTGCACCAGTCAGCCCCACCCCTGCACCCCACGCTGAGGGGCCCGGCACAGTGGACACATGCTCCCAGCCCACAGCTGTCTGTGGGCAGATGAGGCTCTAGGCCTCTGATAGTGAGGTGTAGCCAGGGGACCTGGTCTGATCTCATGCTTTCATATGGAGCCCCAGACACCTGTGGTCAGAACCCTGAGCCGCCAGGACAGTAGGACTTGGAGCTGGAAGCTACAGTGATAGGAATCACCTGCGTCAAGGACACTGGCTGGCCCTGAGGGCTAAGGAGCAGCCACCTGCCCGACCACCTTCCCTGGTGGTGCTCCCTCAAGGAACTGAGCTAATGAAATGATTTGCGGCTGGGGGGGGAGGGTACCTGGGATGGGCCCTGCTGCTGCTGAGGGTGCAGGGACCCCCAGGAAGGGTGGGGGTGGGCATGGCTGCTCCCTCCTCAAGGAGTGAGGACTGACAGGTGACCCCACATGCAGGGCCTCGGCATGAGGGGTCCCTTCAGAGCCTGGGCCCTTCATATTGGTGTGGGGGTCCCAGTAAAGGTGTCGGCACGGGGTGAGAGGGTGTCCCAGCAGGCCCTGGGGACGCCCTCCCCTTCCCTGAAAGCCCATGAATGCTGACCCACTCATTCTGGGGCTGTGGAGTCCCAGCACGGTACCCTCAGTGGGCAACGCTGACCCCAACTCCACTGTGCCCAGGTATGTTCCTGTCGGCAGCTGCCGGGGACAGCGTATCCATCATGCTGTCATCGGGGGCTGGCCTGGAGGTCAGTGTCCAGGGTCCATTCCTGAGTGTGGCTGTCCTCCTGCCCGAGAAGTTCCTCACCCACACACGAGGCCTCCTCGGCACACTCAATGATGACCCCACGGATGACTTCACCCTGCGCAATGGGAAGGTCTTGCCCCTCAGCTCCAGTTCCCGAGAGCTGTTCCGCTTTGGGGCCGACTGTGAGTGACCACGAGGCACACACTAGAGATGGGGGTGGGGGGACAGTCAGTGGAAGTGAAGGGGGAGACTCCGGACTCTTGACCACCAGCAAGACCTGCTGCGTGTCTCCCCAGGGGCCGTGGAGAACGCCTCCTCCCTGCTCACCTATGACTCCTGGTTCCTGGTTAACAACTTCCTGTACCAGCCCAAGCATGACCACACCTTTCAGCCCCTGTTCCCCGAGGAGACCACCCCCAACCCCAGCCAGGAGACTGAGGCTGCTGAATTGTGTGGGGACAACCATTTCTGCAGATTTGATGTAATGGCCACTGGGAGCCTGAGTGTGGGCAATGCCACACGGATGGCCCATCAGTGGCACCAGCATCGTGTGCAAAGCCTGAAGCCTGGTGAGGGCGTCTGGGGGCACAGGCAAGGGGGTGGGCACCTTACGCTGGGACAAGGCCTCCTAGGCTGGCAGCTGCCAGGGGGCAGGCAGCTGCCAGGGGGCAGGGTAGCCAGTGGCTTAAACCTGTGGTATATTTCTGGTCCCCTACCCCAGTGAGATCCTGTGGCTGGCTAGCTCCGCCCCCCAACGGGCTCAAGGAAGGTATCAGCTACCTGATGGGCTCCACTGTCCACTTCCACTGCAATAGCGGCTACAGCCTGGTTGGGGCAGAGGCCAGCACCTGCCAAGCTGATGGCACCTGGTCCAGGCCCACCCCAGTGTGCCAGCCAGGTGAGGATGCCCTGCCCACCTGGCCCCCCTACCCCCGCCCCCTGCCCCCCGCCCTCGGGCAGCCCTCACTGCTCTGCCCTGTCGCCAGGACGGAGCTACGCGGTGCTGCTGAGCATCATCTTTGGAGGCCTGGCAGTGGTGGCTCTGGTTGCACTCATCTACGTGCTGCTGCGCCGCAGGAAGAGCAACATGTAAGACCCCACCCACCCAGACCTGGGTTTCCATCAGCAGGACCCTGGTCCGTGCCCCTCCTTGGCTCTCCTAAGACTCTATGCCTGCTCTAGACAATGTCTCTGTTGCAGGGCCAGCTGGGGTTCACAGCCCTGAGGGGAGCACATCTGACCGGCAGCAGGAGCCACATGGGGCCACCCTGGAGCCAAGACCAACCTCCCAGGAGAAAGCCCCAAACCTCTGAGAACATGCACCTCACTACTTTGCTCCTCAAATCCCTAGCACCATTCACCTGGGACCCCGGACAACCGATGTCTGAGCCTTTAATGCCCATGGACCTGAGGACTAGTGACCTGCTCTGTCACCTCAGACCTGGACACCTGGCTCTAACCGTGCAGTTCCCGAGACCAGCACCTGGTGCTCTAGCCCCTAGACTCCATACCCTTGAATTCTAATACCTGTCGCTAGAGACCCAGTACTCCGGCACCTGTAACTCAAATGCTAGTACCTCAGATCCCGTGTCTGATGACCCTGACCCCTGATATACTGAGACCTGGTGCCTCAACACGGGAGCCCTAACGCCCAGCTGCCTTGATTGCTGAACTTGCCCCAGCCTGAGTGGGAGAGGCTCAGTGTGTGGAGAGGCCTCAGCACACCCTAGTGGAGAGTCACTCTGAACTCCAGGCTTGTAATTCCAACCGTTCTGGAATGTCACTTGAAATACCACCCCTACCTGTACCAGGAGAAAACAAACCTGTGGTGCCCCCTCCCTTGTGTCCTGGTGCTCATGCTGTGCTTCAGTTCCAGTTCCAGAGAGTTCCATGGTTGCCTTGTGGGGTCAAAAGCACCCAGAGCAACCCAGATCTGAGTCCTTCATCCACTGGCAGGCCACCTGGGGCATGTCCCTCTCCAGCCTGTCTCCATCTGAAAAGCAGGATTGCGAACAGTGTCTGTTTTGTGGGTTGAGGACAAAGGGCAGTGTCTGCAAAGGGTTCATCATGGATGCCATGCCAGGTACTCAGGAGTTGGGATGGGCCAGCACAGTCACCTGCCCCAGCACCGCCCTGAAGGCAGTGACTGGTAGTTCCCGACCAGAGCCCATGTTCTGGGTCCCTGGGCACTTTACCCAGGAGTGCCCAGGAACTGGGTATGGAGCACAGGCCTCCTGCTACTGCTGCCCTCTTTGTGGTGAGGGTGCTGAGTGGGGGCCATGGGAGGGCCTAGGCCAGATAGGGTCAAGCTTGTATCATGGGTCTCAGAGAAAGCACAGTGGAGGGTGGGGTTGGAGATTGGTGCTCCCTGGTCCAGTCTCGTGGCTCAGGCTGAGAGGTGGGGGTTGGGGGAATTTGCCCAAGGAATGTGGAACCCTGGGCGAGAGGTGATTGGAAGTGGGGGCCCCCTTCACTGCGACATGCAGTGCTGAGAGTGGCCACACGGGGGCAGCAGAGGGTAGGAACAGAGGTGGGAGGTGGAGGCTACCCAAGGTCCTAGGGGAGGGCGGTCTGTGTCTGCTCTTCAGCTGGGCCAGCTGTTGAAACCTTGGCTAAGGCTCATGCAAGCCCACCTCTGCATCTCTCTCTGCTGGGAGGGCCTCTCAAGTCACCCCCCAGTCTCAGGAGCACAGGTTTTCCAGTTGACACTGACCACCGGGGCCAGAACCCAGGCCTCCCCAATCTCTTAGACCTGCTCCTGGCCAACAGTCCTGGGCAAAGGTGGGAAACCTGAGTGGTAGGGGCAGGTGCCGTCTGGGGGAGGCAAGTGTGCACAATGGGGTACATTCAAAGGAACAGAGATGAGAGTGAGGGGTTGGGGATATCCTTGGCCCTACTCCCTACTACCCCACGTCTCCCGGCTTCCAGCTCAGGGAAGGAGGGGGCTGAGGGCTGGCCCCTTGGCCACCGGGCAGGTACTTTCCTCTGCAGATGAGGCAAAGCAAGGCTGGCCTCCCCCAGACCTGGGTCCTCAGGGTGTCCCTGTGCCAAGCCAGGCTGGCTCGGCCAGGCACAAGTCAGCGGATGACAGGTCAGTTTCCTGGTCAAAGCAGCCTGGACCTGTGAGAGCAGGCACACAAGGGTGGGCAGGGGCAGCTTCACAGCTCCCAGACCATGCCTGAAAGCATAGGTCAATTGTCAGAGATGTGATTGGTGAAAGAGGGCGTTCCAGGCAGAGGAACAGCCTGGGCAGAGGCTCAGAGGAAGAGAAGTGGAGTCTGGTCTGAAGAATAGTGACGCTTCTCCCACCAGGCAATGGTGGTTGGGCTTTATCCTAAGAGTAAAACATGACCTCCCTTGGGCTTCCCAACGTTTCTACATTCCTACATTCCTGTACCCTTCATTCATCCCTCCAGGTTGGGCCCTAGAGCCGCTTCCACCCTTCCCCAGCAGGAGAAGGGGTGCCCTGTCTGTGGCCCTGGCCCCAGACATCAGGAATTCCCAGTGCCAGGGACAGGCCAGGCTGGGAAGCCCCAACACCTGATGGGTTTTCCCGGGGGCCTGTAGGGAGTCGGGTACTATTGGGCCTGTGTGAGGGGGAAGATTCCATAGCCCCCACAGACTTCCTTTAGAGACATTAAAGTCAGGGAACCATTGCCTCAGAGAAGTGGTCTCCCCAAACCACAGTCCCAGGGCATCAGAACCCAATGGCCAGTCCCCTACCTTTTGTACTGGTCGGGCTCTGGAGCAGAGGGGGGCAGGGGCAGTAATCCAGGGACCTAGAAACAAGTGAGGGGAGAGTCAGGAAGTCAAGTAGCTGGTGAGGCAGTAACACCCCTGGGCTGAGGGACAGAGCAAAGGGTGCCAGAGCCAGGCCTAGGTGTTCACAAGAGTGGGAACCACATAAGCCCACGGGCCCTAGCAGGGGCCACAGGACTAAGATGGGGGAAGTGTCTGCTTCCCCTCCTGCCCTTCCATTAACTCAGGGCCAAGGAACAGATAGAGCACAGTGGGGAGCAGGACCCCTTCCTTGGCCAGGCTGGTTCCTCCCACAAGCCCCGGGGTGACTGAGTGCCTACTCTGCACCACTTCTGTCCTCAGATCTCACAGTTCAGTGGCTGCTCAGAGGGGAAGGGGTGCTCAGTGCAGCACATCTCCGGAGTGGGAGATCAAGAGGTGCTTCCTGGAGGAGTCCCATTTCAGCCAAACTTAAAAGGACAAAAGCCATTAGGGGAGTGAAGTTGAGTAGGTGCCTACTAGCAGCAGAGGAGTCCACAACCCCCCAGGTGCCTCGTCAGGGCCGCATGCTGCACTACATTTCCCAGCCTCCTTTGCAATTGGGGGTGGTCACGTGACTGAGTTCTAGCTTGTGCAAAGCCAGCAGAAAAGGGCAGGGCACTTCCAGGCCTGAACCATAACACTCCCCACTGGTACCCTTCCAGGATCTCTCTGCTGCTCCCTCTGATGCAAAGGTGGCCCTGGCCCTGGGACAAAGTGGGTCCCCAGCATGTGGCAGGGAACCCTCTCCCTCTGTCACTGACCTGCTCACCGGAACTGCTACCATCCAGTACTGCTACCGGAACAAGGAATAAACTTGTGATTAAACCTTAATACATTTTTGGGGTCCATTTGTTCCAGCCGTTGGTTTCTCTATACACCAGAGGCAGAGGTGCGAAAAGATGGCCTTACACTTTTCATTACTGTTGAAAATAAATACTATAGACACGAAGGGGCACCTGGGTGGCTCAGTCAGTTAGGCATTTGACTGTTGGTTTTGGCTCCGGTCACAATCTCACAGATCATGAATTCGAGCCCCACATCAGGCTCTGCGCTGACGATGTGGAGCCTGCTTGGGCTTCTCTCTCTCTCCATCTCTGCCCCTCCCCTGCTTGTGCACTCTCTCTCTCCCAAAATAAATAAATAAACTTAACAAAAAATAAAAATAAATTAAGAAAAAAACCCACCTCAGATACACCAATATTCATAGCAGCGTTATTCACGATAGCCAAAAAGTGGAAGCAACCACGTGTCCATTGATGGGTGAATGGGTAGAGAAAATATGGTCCATCCATATAGTGGCATGTTATTCACATGCTGTAACATGGATGAGCTTTAAGACCTAATACTTGGTGAAATAAGCCAGGCACAAAGGGACAATACTGTACAATTCCACTCATATGAAGTTCCTAGAGTCATCAAATTCACAGAGACAGACAGTAGAACAGAAGTTACTAGGGACTAGGGACTGGGAAGGGGGAGCGGGGAGTTAGTGTTTAACGGGGACAGAGTTTCAGTTTGGGAAGACGACAAAGTTCTAGAGATGGGAGAGGGGGATGGCTGTATAGCAGTGTGAACGTGCTTAATGCCACTGGACTGGCCACTTGTAAATGGTCAAGGTGATTAACGTTGTGTATTTCTGTATTTTACAATTAAAAATAAAAAATTCAAACAGAACAGTTTACTTAACGAGTCCCCAGTTTGTGGGCATTAAGCTGTGCTCAGTCTTTTGCTTCCACAAACACTGTTGCGCCTTGTAAATAAGTTCAGGTTGACTCAGAGGAGAGATTCACACCAGAGGATGAATTGACTGGCCCAGCAGTGCGTGCATTTTCCTCCTTGAGTTGTGCCTCGAGTTGTGCTCGTTGACACCACCAACCTACTGATGGAGCCTAGTCCTCTACACCCTCATCAGCATAAGGAGCCTTTGCATTTTTCGCTCTTGGCCAGATGGACGAAATGTGTTGCGAGGACCACTGAGCTTTCTTTCCCTGAACGACATTCCCAGAATTCCCTTCCATGTGTGTTTCCAGGCAGGGTGGACCACAAGAGAGATTTCCATGAAAGATTTACAGTGGGGAAATGAATCAGCAACGTTGTTCACAGCTCAGACTCATCAGGGCTTATCTGCTGACTCAGCTTGTCGGCTCCAGCAGAGGTCATGGGTGCAGCTGTTCCACTTGTCCTCAGGCCACCTTGAGCTTCCCCGACTTCTGGGCCAGATGTCTGACAAAGGGGTCCAGCTTCTGCAGGAAATCTTCATCGCCCTTGGCAACAAGAAGGGTGTTGGGTTTCAGCCAGTCCGTGTGGGTTCCAGTCAACTCCTGGGTTACCAGCTAGTTCTGGATCCTCTCCTCCACTTAACGCCACCTTTTCTTCAAGACGCTCGGCCACATGGACCTCCAGCTCCAACATCAGGTGGAAAACAACAGCCTTACAGAGACTCCT